CCACCCAGGCACCCCACAAAACAATCTCATTTAAAATTGGACCAAAAATAATAAAATATCTAGGAATAAATTTAAGCAAAGAGGTGAAAGACCTGTACTCTGAAACCATCAAATGTTGATGAAAGAAATTAAAGAGGACACAAACAAATGTAAAGATATTCCATGCCTATCGGACTGGAAGAACCAGTATTAAAATGTCTGTACTACCCAAAGCAATCTACAAATTTAATGCAATCCTTGCCAAAATACCGGCAACATTTTTCACAGAACTAGAAACAAATAATATTAAAATTTGGAGGGAACCACAAAAGACCCAAACAGCCAAAACAATCTTGAGAAAGAACAAAGCTGGAGGTTTCACAAGACATTCCATAAAGCTGTAGTCATCAAAACAGTATGGTACTGGCACAAAAACAGACACACAGGTCAAGGGAACAGAATAAACAGCCCAGAAATAAAACCACAGTTATACGGTCAATCTAGGACAAGGAGGCAAGAATACGCAATGGGAAAAGAAAGCCTCTTCAACAAATGGTTGGGAAAACTAGTAATGAAACTGGACCACTTACTTACATCATACACACACACAAAACCTCAAAATGGATTAAAGACCTAAATGTAAGACCTGAAGCCATAAAAATCCTAGAAGAAAACACATGCAGTAATTCCTTTTGATATCGGCCATAGCAACATTTTTCTCTATATGTCTCCTGAAGGGAAACAAAAACAACAATAATCTATTGGGACTATATCAAAAGTAAAAGCTTTTACACAGCAAAGGAAACTATCAACAAAAACAAAAAGGCAACCTACTGAATGGAACGGGAGAAAATATTTGCAAATGATACATAAAGGGTTAATACCGTGGGTAGGGGGACGGGCTAAATGGGTGAGGGGCATTAGGGAGGACACCTGTTGGGAGGAGCACTGGGTGTTATACATAGGGGATGAATCACTGGAATCTACTCCTGAAATCATTATAGCTCTGTATGCTAACTAACTTGGATGTAAATTAAAAAATAAATGAGTGAAAAAAAGATAAGGGGTTAATATCCAAAATATGTAATAAACTCCTACAACTCAACACCATAAAACCCAAACAATCCTATTAAAATGGGAAGGACATGAATAGATATTCAGATGGCCAATGGACACATGAAAAGATGCTCAACATCATTAATCACCCCAGAAATGCCAACCAAAACTACAATGAGCTATATCCCCTTACACCTTTTAGAATGGTTAAGATAAAAAACACAAGAAATAACAGGTGATGGTGAGGATGTGGAGAAAAAGAAATCCATGCACTATTGGTGGGAATGCAAACCGGTGGAGCCACTATGGAAAATAGTATAGAGGTTCCTCAAAAAATTAATACGGAATTAGTATATGATCCACTAATTCCATGACTGGGTATTTACCCCTAAGAAAAACAAACACTAATTCAAAAAGATATATGCACCTTATGTTTATTGCAGCATTATCTACAATAGCCAAACTACGGAAGCAGCCCAAGTGTCCATCAACAGATGAATAAAGATATAGTATGTACATACGGTGGAGTATTACTCAGCCATAAAAAAGAATGAGGTCTTGACATCTGCAATGCAGATGGATTTAGAGGGTATTATGCTAAGTGAGATAAGTCAGTCAGAAAAAGACAAATACCATATGCTTTCACACATAAGAGGAATTTAAGAAACAGAACAAACAAAAACAAACAAAGACTCAAATACAGGGAACACTGTGGTTGCCACAAGGGAGGTGGGTGGGTGTGGGGATGTGTGAATTAAAGGGGATCAAGAGTATAGTTATCATGACGAGCATGGAGAAATGTATGGAATTGCCGAATCATTATAGTGCATACCTGAAACTAACACTGTAAATACATTATCCTTCGATTTTATTTTTTTTTACAAATAGTTTATTGTCAAATTAGTTTCCACATAACACCCAGTGCTCATCCCCACAAGTGCCCTCCTTCATGCCCATCCCCCCCTCCCCCCCACATCCATCAGTCCTCAGTTTTTGTCAGCATTCAAGAGTCTCTCATGGTTTGCCTCTCTCCCTTTCCCCCACCATTTCCCCCCTTCTTCTCCCCCTTGGTCCTCCGTCAAGTTCCTCCTATTCCTCCTATACGTGCAAACATGTGATATTTGTCCTTCTCTGCCTGACTTATTTCGCTCAGCATAACACCCTCAAGGTCCATCCATGTTGCTACACATGGCCAGATTTCATTGTTTCTCATTGCCATGTAGTATTCCATGGTATAGATAAACCACATCTTCTTGATCCATTCATCTGTTGATGGACACTTAGGCTCTTTCCATGTTTTAGCTATTGTGGAGAGTGCTGCTGTGAACATTGGGGTACATGTGCTTCGATTTTATTTTTTAATTTATTTTTTTAACGTTTATTTTTGAGAAAGAGAAAGAGCTGGAGTGGGGGAGGGGCGCACAGACACAGAGACACAGAATGCGAAGCAGGCTCCAGGCTCTGAGCTGTCAGCACAGAGCCCCCACATGGCACTCAAAATCACAAACTGTGAGCTCATGACCTGACCTGAAGTCGGACGCTTAGCTGACTGAGCAACCCAGGCACCCCTATACTTCACTTTTAAAAAGTACATATCAAAAAAGAAATACAAAAGTAAAAATGTTTAAAGGAAAAAACTAGTGACCAAAAAACCCGTCAACAGCTAATTAATTATTGCATCCTGATATGTTATTTCTACAGGATACTGACAAAGAATGAAATTACATTAGAGGAAATGGTCGCTTATCCTAGGATAAGCTGGAAAATGGGCTCCTGGATCAACGCAGAGGAAACTAGAAATGATACCAATTCAAGGGTGAGCCCAGATATCTCAGGTGTCACTCCCCCCTCCCCCCCCCGCCCCCCGAGAATCTGGTTTACAGAGGTCGTCTGGAAGGAGTGTCTTCACGAAGGAGCCAAGTGCTGGATGCCTCCAGGTCTCAGGGTCCATCTAACCAAGGATTTCACTTCTCTTCTCTTTTTGCAGAACCCAGAATAGTGCTTGCTATTCAGCAGGTGCTCTAACAGGAATAAACCCTATTCATAGTCCATTGCTACACATGCCATCCCCCTGGGCAACCCTCCCACAGTGAGGACACCCAGGGGGTTACAGGAGGCGCCTGACTGTGGCTCCGCCTGAGACTCACTGTGGAGCCACCAGAGCTGGGTCCTGGCAGCTGCAGGGGTTTCCACTGGTGGTTACAACGCACAAGCCACCAGTCTGTGAACCCAGGTAGGGAATGAGCTGCACTTCCCAAGTAAACAAACTCTGGGGGGAGGGGGCATGTGTGCGGGAGAGAGTGAGAGAAAGAGAATGGAAAACTTGGGGCAAGGACTCAATCTGGTTATTGGATCAAAGACTGAGGCACAATGCAATACAAACAAGAACTTTATCAAATTAAGAGGCCATACGCACCACGGCAATAAGACACCCAACTCACTGTTCCCTGCTAACAGGAAGTACTGCAGCCTCGAGCTGGGCACTTAATTTCAGCATCCCAATCTCAAAGCTCATTCCAGGTTTCTCCCGTAAGCCTTCCTTGTTCTCTCAGATCAATAGCGATCTCCACCTCCGGTGCCTCGTCCCCTCTCGTTCCCGATGGCCTGTGGCATCACACCTCTCGTCTTTGTATGGCCCATTCAGGACTCTGTTGCAAGCCCCACACGGGAGGCTGCCGAGCCCTGTGGCTAAGAGGGCAGGCTCTGGAGGCAGACGGAGGGGTCAAAGACCTATGTCCACTACTAGCTGTGTATCCTCAGGCCAGCTGATTAACCTCGCTGTGCCTCCGTTTCCTCGTTTGTAATATGGGAATAAAAACAGGTTGTTGTGAGATTCAGATAACCCACCTGCTAAGCACTTAATGACTTGCACTACCTGTGACATCTCTGTTAAACGTCCCCAAAAGTGGAAAACGCAGTGACCCCACCAGAGCTGGTTTTCTCCTGCAGCTCCACACCAATCTTCTCCCATAAGAGCACCACTGCCCAGCCAGGTGCTCAAGTCACAGCCCTGGGAGTCAGCCTGGGCGCCTCCTCTCACGTGACCTTCCGCGTCCACCGGTCCATTCTTCCTCCGATACACAGATCCTGCCGTCTACATTCACGGTCCCAACCTGTCACCTCTCGTAATCTATACTCCTCGCCTCCCTCCTTCACTCTGACCACCATCCCTTTCATGTTCCCCAGAGCTCCTAGAATAGGCTCTTAAAATGTCAGTATGATCATGTCACTTTACTATTTACTTCCCACCATATGGAAGGTGAGCAACGTAGTGATGACCTGGCGTTGACCTCACGTAAGAGAACACCACCAGGGAAGGCAGGGAGCAGGTGACAGGAGGAATCTGGGTCCTTGGAGGTCTCTGATCTTGGGTGGCACCAGCCCCACACCTGTATTTAGGGCCTCCGCCCACTGCCCTGGGCTGCTCACCTCCCTACATTATGGGCAGCAGAATCAAGCTTCCACCTTGTTGGGGTCAATGCGGTTTGAAGCCTTCCTTAGAGAAGCTTAATCTGTGCCCTGGTAACACGGTCCCTGGAAGTGGTGTACTTCTGTGACAGGGCGTGAGGTGACACTGGGCTTCGTGGCCTGGCAGTGGTGGGTGAGGAACCACATGCAGGGAAGGAAGCTAGTCGCTCCTGTTAGGCTGCGCAAAACAGACGAGGAAACAGTGCCCGCATGAACTCGGGAGACAGATCCCGCGCTTATCAAGCCTGCGGATCCAGAAGAAACAGAAAATCTCAGATGCTGGCGATGCGGGCTGCTTGCCGGTGCTCTGAGCAAGGAGCCAGGTGCGGGAGCCCAGCCGGTTCGCAAGCGGGGGTGGAGGTCACAGGCGCTGCTCGGGGGGGCTCTGCTTGGCCGCTCCAACCGCGTTCCCTAAAAGGCCCAGCAGTTCGCTGCCTCGCGTCCTGCTTCCCTCCCGGGCTCACGCAGGCCCCTTACCCACACGCAGGTCACCTCACCTGACCCTGCTCCCTCGGTCAAAGTGCTCAATCGGGTGTGTCTGCTCGCCCGGCAGCCCCACCACACCCAGCCCAGCGCCCGCACGCGGAGGCCCGCCTCGGGAGCAGCGGCGCGCAGACCGCGGGGCGCCACCCGACCCGCACCCCGAGTCCGCGGGGTCCGCCGGGCTCCGGAGGCCCCGCTCCTCCGGGCCCCGCATCTCTGCGCAGGCGCGGCCGCGGGGAGGCGGAGCGCGCGAGCTGCGGGCCCGCCCCCGGCCCGCCCCCTCCGCCGGAGGGCGCCGGCGCGCGTCCCGCCGCCCTCCGTCCCGGGCAGGCCCGCGGGGAGCCGCGAAGCCCGGCGGGGCCCGCCCAGCGTCTCCGCCAGCCCGTTCCTCACGCCCAGGCCCCGAGGGGCTCACCGCGTCCCCCGGAACCGGCAGCTCCTCCGGCCTCCGCCGTCGCCACGGGCCCGGCGGCAGGGTGTCCATGCCGCCCCGAGCCCGGGTCCGCGGGCCGCTCATGACCTACGGACCGCGGCCGCCCTACCCAACCGCAGCGTCCACGCCCCTTTCCGCACGTGCCCAGGGGGAGCCAATGAGGGGCGGGGGGCGTGGCGCCGTGGGGACGGCTGGGCCCCGCCCCTTGAGGGCTGCGGGCAGTAGCGGAGACCAGTCTTGTGGGCAAAAGGGGACTTCTGCCCCGGGTTGCCATTTCGCACAGACACCGCAGCCTGTCACTTATCCGATCACGGAACCGGGGGTAGGTCTCCTGTGACCCTACTCCTGGGTCCTGCCGGGTTTCTACTGAAGGTGGTGGATCGGCTGGGGAGTTCCCTCCTCCTCGCTCTTGTGATTGGCTGATGAGCCCCGGCAGCAGCCGTCTTCCTGTGGCTGGTCGGTTGATGGATGGCGCCAAGAGCCAATCCGTGTGGGCGAGCTGCCGTGGCGGGTGTGTCTGGGAGCTGTAGTCCCGGGGAGGAGGCCTCACTTCCGGGGGAGCGGCTGGGGGCGGCGCCGAGATTCCAGCCGGGGCGTGGCCCTGGGCGGGGAGCTTCTGCGCGGGCTGCGGGGCTTTGCGGCCGGACGGACTCTCTGGTTCAGTGACCCGCGTCCGAGCCGGGGATCAGCCAGCGGTGACCAGGCCCGGAGTTCTGGCCAGTGGGTAAAGTAGGTCTGCGGAGGGCGGGGCGCCGGGACGGAGTTTTCCGTCTGTTGAAAAGGGATTGGATGGGCGGGGGCTGCGTTCTCTCCGGCTGTTGGTGCGGTCGTTTCCCGCCAAAGTGTGAGCTTCCCGGAGCCGCTGCAAGGGTCCTGCCACCATGAGTGCCGCTGGCGGAAAATCTGGTGGAAAGTGGGACGGCACTTAGGCCCAGGCGCCTTGAGCTTCTGAGCCAACCTACGTGCCCACCAGCCTCCAGACTTTCTGCTGCGTTTCACCGATTTGAGGTCTGAGTTTAGCATTCTGCTGCAGGTGAAAGCATCCTTTTTGTTGCAAAGCCCGATTCTTAACCGTGACTCCCACTCCGTTGGACGACTTGCTGCATGACCTTCAGCCCGCTAGGCAGCCAACCTGTCTCAGTTTCGTCATCTATGAAAGATAATGATGAATCAGGGCATTGTGAAGACGAAGTGAGGTGTACACATATACTTAGAACGATGACCGACACAAACTACTCCATAAATGGCATATTACTACTACTAGGCTTCCCATACCAACACTGCCGCTCCTAGTTGCCAAGCCTGTATCAAAACCCTGGGGTTTCCAGTTATGAGTGAAAGTTAAGCTGCTAAGAGACTCCGTGTTGAAAGTTCTTACCATAGAAAAAAAATTAACTGTGTAAGGTGATACATGTGCTAACTGACCTTATCATGGTAACCTTTTTGCAATAAAAACATATCATTACAATTGTCCTATGCCAGTTATATCTCAATAAAGTTGGGGGTGGGACTTTGGGGCCCAGTGTGTTTTTGGAATTCAGAATCTTTAGGATTTTGTTTGAAGGGCAGTACATATATATATAAAGTGTGAAACACCTTCAACAAGGCCTGGGACAACACCCTATGATGAGACCCAATATTTCTGTGGCAAAATGTGTGAATGTTCAGAAATATTCACCCTAAGTGGGATATATAATGGCTTTAAATGGTCTCATATCAGATCAAATGTGTTTGCTCAAAATTTAGGAAGAACTCATTTTTAGAACTGTTTGCCTTTCAGAATTGAAAATAAGGTGCTATTGTGAACCTGTAATACTATCCCTACTTTAAAAACTGTTCTTTTGGTCTTGCAATTTACATTACATGATGTGCTGTGTGGTCCAGTTTCGGTATCACTGGTCTTTGGACTTGGGGCTGCTCTTTCAGGGGCTTGAACCAACCGCTGAGTAATGGGGAAAGCTTAGCCTACAAGCTGGTGGCAGATAATCTCCTTGGCCAAACTCTACTCAGCCTCCCCTGAACTCTTCTTATCAACTACTTCCCGACTGTGGAGGCTTCCGTGTTCCTCCCTACATTGTCCACTCTTAGCAAGACTCGCCCACCCTTGGCACCTGATCAGCCTCAGTGTTGGATGGGGTCCCTCCTTCCCCACATCTCCCCACGTGAGTCTGATCACCCCGGCCGGCCCTCAGCAAGAATCCTGTTGGGTTGATTGAGAAAGAATTGCCTCTCACCCCAGACGTTTCCTCCTAGTAATTTTTCGCCCACTGACCTTCCCCTACCCGCCTCACACTCATAGGCTATGAATTCCCAGTCTTCTTTGTATTGGGAATTAATCCCAATCCTCCTCCCCTGCTGCAAAACCCCTTTACAGTTGTCTCTGTACCTGTCACAATGAACCCCCTGAATAAAGTCTGCCTTAGCACTCATGTCAAGTGTCATGAATGTTTTTTTCTTTAATGCTACATACAGCAATAGATATGTTTAATAGATTGCAATTTAGTGTAATACACTAGTTACCAAATAACAGTCATTCGGGTACCAATTTCAAGATAGCGCAAAACTCTGCTACTGCTTACTTAGTGTATTTATTTAAATTAATATCATGTATTTTTCGAACTCTAAAAATAATATAAAGCATCTGTTAAATGATGTCCACAGTGCTCATTATTTTAATATATTAAAACAAATGCATTAACTGTTAGAAAAAAACTGGAAAATCCCCAAGACAGTGCATTCTTACATATGACACCAAAAGCATAGTCAACAGCAACAACAAATAGATCAATTGGACTATATCAAAATTAAAAACTTATGTGCATCAAAGAACACTATTAATACAATGTTAACTGTACACTGTTAATACACTATTAACCCAGAAAACGGACTAAGTATTTGTAAATCACATCTCTGATAAGGAGTTAATACCTAGAATACATAAAGAATGCCTACAACTCAACATCAGGGAAACAACCTGATTAAAAAATGGACAAAGGACTTGAACAGACATCTCCCCAAAGATGATTCTAAACGGCCAATAACCACATGAAGAAATGCACAACATCAACTATTCACTAGGAAATGCAAATTAATTCCACAATGAGATACCACCTCACATCCATTAGGAGGCCCATTAGGAGAAAACAAGTGTTGACCAGGATGGGACAAATTAGAACCCTTGAGTGTTGCTGGGGAGAATATAAAATGGTGTAGCACTATTAAAAACAGTATGACAGTGGGGCGCCTGGGTGGCTTCGTCGGTTAAGCATCCGACTTTCGCTTGGGTCATGATCTCGCAATTCGTGGGTTCGGGCCCCGCATCGGGCTCTGTACTGGCTGCCAGCTCAGAGCCTGGAGCCTGTTTCAGTCTGTGACTCCCTCTCTCTCTGACCCTCCCCTGCTCACGCTGTCTCTCTCTGTCCTAGAAATAAATAAAACAAACAAAAAAATCCAGTATGACATTTCCTCGAAAAACTAAGAACAAAATTATGTTCCACAACCCCCTTGTGGGTGTATAATACAAAATAACTGAAAGCATGGAGCTCAAACGCCCGTGTTCATTGCACCCCAGACATGGCAGCCAAAAGATGGAAAGAACCCAACTGTCCATAGACAGATGGATGGATAAATAAAATGTGGTTCATCCATACAGTGGAATATCGTTCCGCCTTAAGGAAGTAAATTCTTTTTTTTTTTAATTTTTAATGTTTTATTTATTTCTGAGAGAGAGAGACAGCATGAGCAGGGGAGGATCAGAGAGAGAGGGAGACACAGAATCCGAAGCAGGCTCAGGCTCTGAGCTAGCTGTCAGCACAGAGCCCAACACGGGGCTCGAACCCACGAACCGTGAGATCACGACCTGAGCTGAAGTCAGACACTTAACTGACTGAGCCACCCAGGCGCCCATCAAGGAAATAAATTCTGACACCACCTACGACATGGAGCCCTGAGGGCATTATGCAAAATGAAATAAACCAGTCACGAAAGGATAAAGTATAATTCCACTTACATAAAGTACTAGAAAAATCAAACTCCTGGAGACAGAATGGTGGTTTCGAGAGGCTGGGGAGGAGAATGGGGAGTCAGCGTTTAATGGGTACAGACTTTCAGTTTAGGAAGATGTGAAGAGTTCCAGACATGGATGGTGGTGATGGTCACTAAACACCATTGAACTCTACACTTAAAAATATTTTTTTTTAATTTTTTTAATGTTTTATTTATTTCTAAGAGAGAGAGAGAGAGAGACAGCGTGAGCAGGGGAGGGTCAGAGAGAGAGGGAGTCACAGACTCTGAAACAGCCTCCAGGCTTCGAGCTGGCAGTCAGCACAGAGCCCGACGCGGGGCTCGAACCCACGAACTGTGAGATCATGACCTAAGCGAAAGTCGGACGCTTAACCGACTAAGCCACCCAGACGCCCCTACACTTAAAAATATTTAAGATGAGAGAAATACCCTACAACCCAGCAATTGCACGACTAGGTTTTTTTTTATCTAAACGACAAAAATTCTGATTCAAAGGGGCACATGCACCCCAATATTTATAGCAGCACCATCAACAATAGCCAAACTATGGAAAGAGCCCAAGTGACCATTAGCTGAGGAATGGATAAGGAAGATGTGGTATCTATATACAATGGAATATTATTCAGCAATCAAAAAGAGTGAAATCTTGCCATTTGCAGCAACGTGGATAGAACTAGAGTGTACTATGCTAAGTGAAATAAGCCAATCAGGGAAAGACAGATATCACATGATTTCACTCATATGTGGAATTTAAGAGACACAACAGATGAACACAGAGGAAGGGAAGGAAAAATAAGACAAAAACAGAGTGGGAGGCAAACCATAAGAGACTCTTTAATACAGAGAACAAACTGAGGGCTGCTGGAGGGGAGGTGGGTGGGGAATGGGCTAGGTGGGTGATGGGCACTAAGGAGGGCACTAAAAAAAAAGGGTGTAAGACAGAAATAAATAAATAAATAAAATGCCAAGTGCGCCGCTTACCCCCCCTTGCTCACCACCTTCCAGGGGAGCGCTCTCAGGAGCGTAGT